TGGCACCCTGCTGCCGAGACAGAAGGCCCGGTTAAATAGACTTTGTCTCGCTTCATAAAGTCAGCTGGTTTTATAGCGTTTCCCTATCCTTTCCTTAAACTCTCTTCTCAAAATTAACAAGAACTCTATCCAACTTTGTTATACAAGCACAATGAGGACAAATAACCATTGGTCACAGTGAAGATAATAATTATTTGTTTAACCGTGTGCCCTTTATGTGTTTTGGAGTGAACATCGTCGAATGCAAAGACTAAAACTTTTTACTGTTTGTCATGTTTAATTTTTGGTTTTATAGTGAATGTAATGACAACAACTCATAAATGTCTCTCTCTCTTCCAGGCTAAGTGAGGAAAAAAAGAGAGTAGTCTACACTATTATGGAGTACTCACCCCTGCTGGACTCCTCCAATATGAGCACAGATGACTGGGGTAAAATAGGAAAGGATATTGAGGTACTTTAATTTTATTCTTATGTTTTGGATAACCTCAACAAACACCTAATCATTTATACTGTAAACGTTTAGTAATTAATGACTCCTTAAATAATTGATATTGTTTATGAAATACACAATATAATATTCCAGGAAATTACGATTGTATTCACGTCGGCTTCGAAAATGATCCACATTACATGGTCTTTTTGTCTTGTTTAGGAAAACTATGAAAAATACGATGGATTTGTGATCCTCCACGGCACAGACACTATGGCTTACACTGCCTCTGCCCTGTCCTTCATGTGTGAAAATTTAGGCAAACCAATCATTGTCACCGGATCACAGGTACGGTCTTACAAAAAAAAGTGCCTGCAGCATTTTACGTTTTTAATGCCCTTTTTAAGACGAGACACTTTCTGTCTTCAGGTGCCGATCTATGAGATGAGGAATGATGGCAGAGCCAACCTGCTGGGGGCGCTGCTGTTTGCTGGTCATTTTGTCATTCCCGAGGTGAGAAGAGGGCACATAAATCCTACTCCCATATATGATTAAAGAGACATTTATTTGACAATCTCATTGAGGGAGCATTACAAATGTGCTGTGTTTGGGAAGACAAAACAGAGTTAATAGGAGATCACCACTCTCCTTAGTGCGCTTTCCTTCTCTTTCTATCAATATTTTACATGTGTGGGGTTACATATAATTTATACATTCATTCTAAATTACCTGACCTAATTTATATGTTTATGTTGACAAAAAAAACTGATTTGCAAGGGCAGGTGTTGAGGCTTTTTGTATTCAGAAGCATACAAAAGCTCTTAACTACTTGTCTGTTGAGAATGCTTTCTAATGACAGTGTTTTGCAATACTGAGAAACAACGGCTATACATAAAGAACACTTCACAGTTATCTATCTATCAATGTACAAAATGCCGTAAGCATTTTATCCTTTGTCTTTCCTCAATTGTGGGACCTTACTAAAAACAGATTTAAGTGTTTACTCTGACCTGTGTTTTGTTCATGTATGTTATTTCCTGCTGCATAAAACCGATTTTCTTTCCCAATTCAGGTGTGCTTGTATTTCTACAACAACCTCTACAGAGGGAATCGATCTACCAAGGTGGATGCTGGGAGTTTCAAAGCGTTCTCATCTCCTAACTTGGCTCCTCTGGCCTGTGCTGAAGTGGCCATCAAAAGTAAGGCAGTAGTGGAATTTGTCATCACCCTGATGTGGACATTAAATCACTTCTCTTCACTTTAATCTGTTGTCTTTACTCTTTGTTTTCAGTCAACTGGGATACAGTGTGGAGAGCAAACACCAAAGCAAAGTTTCATGTGAGCCCTGAGATGAACACGAACGTGGGCCTGCTCAGGCTGTTCCCAGGAATCACTACTGCTACTGTAAGTGTCTGCACTGGACCACAGATATTTACACTGTCTGCCACAGCCAACTAATTTCCAGAGGTTACTCGTCGACCTTGGGCCTTGGTTGATGTGACACACAACCGAATAATTGAATAGGGTTTTTTCTCTTAGGGGAATTCATTCAGCAGCTTATCGATTGATGTGTTTCCTCTATCATTTCAAATATAATTATTTGCACACTTAAATTAACAACCCTTAAAGGGGACTTATCATGCAAAATGCACTTTTTGATGTCTTTTGTACATAAATATGTGTCCCCAGTGTGTTAGGGAACTCAGAAAATAAAACCCTCTCTCTTTTCCTCCGTACCCAAATCTCTAAAAGCGGGGGTACAACGGAGCTGATCCAGATTTGCCTCCGATATGACGTCATATAGGCAATGCAGACCCACAGCACTATCACAGGGTTCCCGCGGGGTCTTAAATTCTGATTATCAAATGTAAGAATTTTTAAGGCCTTAAAAAGTCTTAAATATGATCAAAAAAATTAGAAAGGTCTTAAATATGATTTTTAAAAAGGATTGGATTTGAAAGGTAGGCTACTTCTGTGTTGCGATCACGTCTAAATGTGTTTTGGGGAAAATTTCCGGGCTGCAAAGTAACCAGTACGGTAATAGCCTTTCAGTTCCCCCCAACAATTTGTATTGAAATAAATCAACATGGAACCAGTAATCACTAACTTTGCACCCCCCCGGCCCCTTATCGGAGAACACCCAGCTAGTAACCTAGCAACCAAGCTTCAGCTAGCGAGAGCACGCTCGTGAACCGTTGCGCCGGTGTTATGCATGCCCGCCGAGAGATGCATGCACCTCGCGGGAGCGCGCACAGCATAAAGCAAAAACTCCCAGACATTTCAATGATTTGTACGGTTTGGAAACGATATCATTTCCTTTTTGGAGGGCATGCATAACACCGGGGCCTCTCTGCGGGGAAACTTTTGCGCTGTTCCGAGTTTGTTCTAATCTGTCAAAAATGACAGACTGCTTTCAGATTTTTCCGTCATTGTTAAAAATGTTTTGTCATAGATGGAAAATATTCGGTTAACGCGACCACTGCCTCCGGGCGACGTTTGGGTCTACGTCAACCCTAAAAGTGGAGGTGCTGTGGATGCTAAATACCGTAGCTAAACACCAACATACACACACACACTTTCGAGGTTAGGCAGTTCTTTTTTTCCTGGTTTTTGGCTAACTCAGTTCTGTGTGCTGTTATGTTCAGTCATCGTTCTTATGTTGAACGTGAATACATTTACTTTGAAAGTAATTATGGGATTATATTTCTTCTTTCATAGCAATTTTCCTTCATACTTTCTTGCTGTGAAATTGGTCTTAAATTCTATTCAAAGTGGTCTTAAAAAGGTCTTAACAAATCTTAAATTTGAGTTGGTGAAACCTGCAGGAACCCTGTATCAGAAACAATGCCCGACTGTTTTGAACGTAATATGGTCGGTGTTTACATTAGCATCGCCAACACTCAGAGCCAACCTGTACGGCAGGGAGCATGTGTGTGAAGAAGCAGGAAATAAAAAGGAACTCATCTTGTGGTATAACAAGCAAGAGAGAAAGCCTTTGAGCTCCATACTGTTTCAGAAATAATCCTTGATAATCCATGATATGGCGTTTCATCACGGCAGTATCTGCCGGTAGAATCTCCCGCATGAGCAGGCATAATCTCCGCCCCTCTTTTTTTTTTTTTNGTCCGCGCTGCAAAGTAACCAGTACGGTAAGAGCCTTTCAGTTCCCCAAAACAATTTGTATTGAAATAAATCAACATGGAACCAGTAATCACTAACTTAGCAACCCCCCCGGCACCTTATCGGAGAACGCGCTAGTAACCTAGCAACCAAGCTTCAGCTAGCGAGAGCACGCTCGTGAACCGTTGTGCCAGTGTTATGCATGCCCGCCGAGATAAGCATGCACCTCGCGGGAGCGCGCACAGGTTTTTGGCTAACACAGTTCTGTGTGCTGTAGGGCTGTACCCGAATATTCGTTCGTTGGAGTACTATTCGGGTTTCAATTTCGTTATTCGTTTTTATAAAAAAAAAAATTCTTTCTTCTTCTTCCAAATTGAATTTATTGATATCTCGAATATCAACGTGCTTGTGCCTCTTCGGGGGGTGCTAACACTCAACCATAAACGTTATAGTTTACTTTCTCCGTCTTTATATGTAGATATTACTTTTCTCTGTTCTCTGTCATGTTGTTTCCAATGCAACAACAACTTCCTGTCAACAGCGCTACCTCTCCTTCAAAATAAAAGCATGTCCATAAATAGCAAGCCAAACCAAATTACACTTAAGACATATACAACTGCAACGAAAGTAACAAACACAATGCGATATCCTTTTCAATTTCAATGAACACAAATAGGGTTACATTAACAAATAACTATAAAACAACAATACTGTAGAATGTAAATGAATACACCGAAATACTCGTGTTGAAGCGGTTCGCTGCTGATTACTACTACGCCGCCGCGCTGGCCGAATATTCGCTGCTGATTACTACCGAATATCCGGAGCCCGAAAAAAGATATTCGGGACAGCCCAAGTGTGCTGTTATGTTCAGTCGTCGTTCTTATGTTGAACGTGAATACATTTACTTTGAAAGTAATTATGGGACGTATTTCTTCTTTCATAGCAATTTTCCTTCATACTTTCTTGCTGTGAAATAGGTCTTAAATGCTATTCAAAGTTGTCTTACATTTGAGTTGGTGAAACCTGCAGGAACCCTGATTAAAGATGTACATATCGGTTAATGACTTTATCCTGTGGAGCCCTTAAAAAAAAAACTAATATTAGTAACACTTGGAGTGCTCGGAAAAATATCTTCTTTTATGTAATCCATATATTCAACATTTTTGTAAAATAAATTATGAAAGAAATCAAACTAGAGTATTTTTGATAAATAAAAATGATTTCTGACCTATCTGTTGAACTGACATTTTGGGATTGTGTTCTACTTCTAACAATGATTCAGCTGTTTCTAGAGGTGCAGGACTAATGTTGCAATATTGAAAACAATAGGCCATATAAGTAAAACATTTCCCAGGAACAATAAAAGCCCTGAGACTGCGTGGGGTTCAGAGGGTCAAATATTTTTTGGCTTGAGCACTTTCTTTATTCCACCATTATTTTCAATCAGGGCGTTTGAGGATGAGGCCAAAGCCCGACTGGGTGTGGTGGAGTGTGCCAAACACGAACTGCTTCAGCCCTTCGGTGTGCTACACGAGAAAGAGGGTGAGTGTTCACCTCTTATAATGCTTTTGTCTTTTGACAGCTTTACTTTTTATTTACGTCTCCTTCCTTCTGTGTCTTTGTTCTTAGGAGAGTGTGTAGCTCAGTTTAAGTTCACAGTGCTGCTGATGGCCAACGGGCCTCACAGAATCACCAACGGGCTCTTCGATCCGGAGCTCTATAAGTCAGAGCATGAGGTGCAGGACGCAGAGCTGAGGGTGAGATAGTTAACTCACTTCTGGCATACATACAAGCGTCTTTGTCACACAGAAACTGCCTGCACTGAAGATCATATTTATTTTTATACTAAAATGTCTCTGTCCTTTCCACCAGACTTTGTTAGAGAGTTCTGCAAGCCGTAAAACACAGAAGAAGAAGAAAAAGAAGGTACATTATTTTTCTAACAAGGAACCCTCACCCCATTGACCTCGCTGTCTTTTTGCGTCCCCTCACTGATATGTTCCTCTCTCTTTCACCCTATACAGGCCTCAAAGACAGCAGAAACCGCAACTGGACAGCCAGCCGAGGAAACGGAAGCCGTAGAATAAATAAATACTGCTTTTCCATACACGGAGGAGCCCAAAGAAAAGCACGAGAAAAAACAACAAATTTCCCCAAAGTCTCTGCCCGTTACACACCTTTTTCTTTTCGCAATGGCAACCGAGGAATTTTAGATCCTACATGGATGCTTAACCCTTTACTGCACTATTGAAAAGTACTGTGTTGCTTTTTCTTCTCTAACCTCAGTAGGAAATAAACGATATTTGCAAATAGTTTTACATCTTTGCAAAGACTTGTTGCCAAATGTTATGTGAGCGACTGGGTGTTTCTTTGTTGTTTTTTAAAAATATTTTGTCCTCTTTGGTTTTATCATATGCATCTGAAAATGTTCTTTCAAGTTACACTGACTCTTACAGTGGGCGTAAATGGATCAGCTTTCTTTTTTTTATCATCCAACCAGCATTATTGGATACAGACAGATAAGTGAATCAAATTCTTAAACTTAATCTTCCTTTGTCTAAAAGAACACGTTTCTCAAGAAATTACAAAAGTTATGTAAACATTTTTATATGTGAACAAAGAATCAGTTTATAATGAAATATTTCTATATTTTACTGGAAGGTTTACAAGCTCTCAGTCAGTGTAAGATCAAGTGATGATGGTGAGTTTGTCATCCAGTTTATTAATATAAACTTGTTTTTTATTAACTATATTATGCAGTAAAGGGTTAAATTATCAATTCAAACAAAACCATATCGACACTTGACAATGAATTCATCAACTGTAATTGAAAAGTTGGCTTTTCTGTATGTAGTCAGGGTTAGTCTTCCATCATAGGCCTTACAACTTTGGTTAAATTTACAATGTTTCAACCACTTGACTCTTAACACAAAGTATTACCTGAGCACAAGACTGTGTAAACAAGCAAAAAACATACCATATCAGTTTGACGTTGGGGATCAAAACTGCTATTTACTGCCATCCCCTTGAATTTTATGAAAATATATATATACGTTCTAGTTTTGAAAACGTTTTTTCTATTGATGACATCTGCTAATTTCTTTACTACGTCATAAGCCTTGTGAAGAGTGAAAACTGAAGTGGGCCAACTTCGAAGGTTTTATGGGTCTCTTCAGTGGACCATTAAGATCCTTTAAGGTCTGAGTTTGATTTCGAGGTCTGGGTCTTGAAAGAAAGTCAAATCCTGCATTGTAGCTCAATCAGTGGGCAATGAACATCTAAGGAAATAAAAACATTTTCATACATTTCTGTTGGGTTTTTGCTGTGTTTTGTCAAACTTCAGTATTGGAAAAAGTATTAGCCCCTTGTACTAATCTATTTGGGATATAATTCGTAACATCTCAGTATGTATTACGCGATTATAGTAACATTATAGATACATTTGATTTAACTTAACAAAAACACTGACATTCCTGTCTTTTTATATGATTGATTTTCCAACAAATTTACAAAAGAATGATCGCTAATGATATCACAAATGTAACCTCTGCTTAGCATTATGTTAGTGTTTTGCATACAATATAAGCACAGAAAACATTTAGTTGATAATACAATGATGACAGTGTACTTTATTCTTAACATTACAAATAAAAAGCACAGAGTAAGTCAATCGTACATTGAAAAATAAACAGAAAAATTATAGGAAGCTGTAGATCAACTGATGAGCCTTCAAATGTGATTAAAAGGAAGATAATAGTCTGGCACCTTGAGATAATAGTTGCATGAAAAGATCAAGAATAAACCTTATCTCATTTCTAAAGATTTGTATGTCATTATTTAGAAAATAAAACGTACAGGCATGGCCAAGGTTCAAGGCTTTTATTAGTCATAGGTACATAGCTACAGTGAGTTATGAGGATGAAAATCTTAGGTCCCAGGTCAGCGCAGTTATTGCTGTCTGTATAATAATAATAGTTATTATTATAATATTAATAATAATAATAATAGTTATGAGTAATATTACTATGATTATTTTTATAAGTAGAAGTATTTTAAAAATAAATTAACAATTATAATAATAATAAGTGAATTCTCTATGTAGGTGTAACGTTAAAACGTCAGCCTTTCAAAACAAAGCACAAGGTCTATTGATTCCAAAAATATTATTCTTGCTTTTGTTAAAGGTCCTGAAAGCTGTTCCCAGTTTCAGTATCGTTTTGAAAAAAAACAACTATTATTTATTTAAACTGGGCGACCTTCCTTGACTACATTTCCCAGCGATTGTAGGAAAAACAACAGTTGGCGGTTGAGCATGACGTCATTTTTTGTATAAAAGCCGCCCTCGCTCTTCGTCACATCCTCTTTCCATTGCTCTTCTCGCGCTGAGGTACGTTGAACATTTTAACTGCTATCTGAATCCAAACTAATCTTTATGTTTTACAAGTCATCCGCAGTTACTAATAATTGTATATGTATTGTTTTCACAGAACCTTCTCCTCACGATGAGAGCCAAGGTGAGTTGACCAACCTGTGTTGGTATATTAGTGTTGATCTTCTTCCTGTCCTAGACAATGCTGCTAGCTAGCATCTCATTATCACTGCCTGTGCTGCTTTTTCTTGACTTAATAACTTAAACGTGTTGCTAGACGAAGCTGTTTCTTCTGTAGTTATTCTAACAATAGCTAATCTTCAGTTTGTACTTCTATTTGTGTTGAACGATGTGTGAAGGCTTTTGGCGCAGCAAGGCCCTCTTCAGTACATGCTAAAATGCTAGCTAGGGAAGCCCTCCTTGATATCTTGTCTGTTAATGAAAGGAAGACGTCTTTTGGTGACTGACTTAACTGCTTTAATGTGTTAATCACCTTTATAGTCAGCACTGCAGTATGTGGTTGCATTAGTATTATGAGAAGCATGCAGTCAATAAGGGGAGGAAACACATGGCCCAGTGAATGCACTTGCTGTGATGTTGAGCTAATAAATATTTCTCTTTTCTTCTTCCAGTGGAGGAAGAAGCGTATGCGCAGGTGAGCAATGATTCCATTTATTTAATACAAATAAGTTGCACTAAATGTTTCATGATTTTGATGCATGCACTATTGAAAATCTGAGTTGTGGGGCTAAACAAATCGAGTCAACTGTATCACAGTAGGTGCAACAGTTGTTTATAAAAGTGTTAAAGATACTCAATTGGTAATATGGTGCAGTGAAAAAATCCAGACTTACTAAAGGTTCCAGTTCTTTAAAAAGACATGCACCATTATATGGCAATGAATACATTTATGGGGGGAAATCGGTCACATTGCTTATACAACATTTATTTCAATATCTGTATTAACAGCCTATTCCACAGACATGTCCCTTGGATACACTAAATGATTAATGTTGTAGATATTTCCAAATGGGGATCTAAGTAATTACTTTAATTGTGCACATTTTGACTTAACCTTACAACTGAATACTTTAAAATGGCCTTATGCACTGTAAATCAGTCAGCCTCATGACTTTGAAATGTAAGCATTCATTAGCTTTAATGAGCTGTCCAAAACAGAGGTGGCATTTTAAAAACTATTTTCCTTTGGGCTCGACTTAAACATTAATAAGGGATATTATACTTTACCCTAAATCTAGTGTTATGGGTTAATTGAATTGGCAATTAAACTTATAAGGTCACTAAGATGTCAGTGTATTCTTAAATGGCTATTGTGCATTAACTTGAACATTTATTGACCTGCTGTATTGTTTCTTCTAACAGACTGAAGCGTAAGAGGAGAAAGATGAGGCAGAGGTCGAAGTAGGCCCTCTTCTTCTTCAGCTGTATTCCCATCGGAGCCTCCCCTGATGACTGAAGCGTGCGGCTGAAGTGAAGCCTCCATCAGTGGATCGAAGGCCTGCACCTCATTTCTGCTGACTGTGCGCCTCATGGAGCCGGCTGTGAACGTCTGACTGGACGAGGCTAAGATGCTGGACGACCTCCCGACATCAGAATTACAGTTGTTAATGGACCAGAATAATACTGTCTTGTGGTGTATTTAACAATAAATGGAACCCTTTTAAAAATTTACCCATGGTTTCAGTCCGTTTTGTCCTCAGTTCTTTTAGCTGCTAATCCGAGGCCTCAGTAGCTTGGTCTGAAACATGGCTCTGGCATGTGTCAGTCATCTTACTAGAGTCTCTTTTGGGTGTGTGAAGCACACATGACCTAAATGCAGTGTAGTGATGTGTGGCTGCAGCCTGCTAAGAGTCTGGAACCAAGTGTTAAAAACATGAGTTTCCAATTACCTTAAAGGTGTCCTATCATGCAAAATGGACTTTTTGAAGTCTTTTATTCATAAATGTGTTGGGGGGGGGGGNNNNACTCACAAAGTGTCAGAAAATAAAACCCTCTCTTTTCCTCTGGAGTTGGGAGTGAGAATGGGTTGGTAGAACAGAGCTGATCCAGATTTTTGTCTGATATGACGTAATATCAGAAATGTGGGCTGGCTTTACACCCAAGGCTCTCAGAAAAAATGTTGGTTTTTGACGCAATATGGTCTTTGTTTACATTAGCAAGCATCGCTAACACTCAGAGCTAACCTGTAATGGAGAGTATGGCCCTTTCTCATTTAATCAAAGCCCCCTCCTCGACTCCTCGGTCCTCCGGTAGTGACCCGGAAATGAATTTCAGCGCGCCATGTTGAAGGACATCTCATTTCTCTAAATGCACTTCGAGGACCGAGGATCGAGCGTCGAGGAGGCTCTCTGGAGGAGCTACTCTGATGGGTCCTCCACGGCTCCTTCGTGGATGCATTTCCGGGAACAGAGACGTTTCAAAGAGTGGTGACGCACTTATCTCAGCCAATGACAGCTCTGCATGCATCCCCTGGATATTATTTTATTAACTGCTCTCATCGCAACGCGAAGTTTACAGTGAGAACAGCTGTGAGGTCCGTGCAGAAAGCAGAGCAGTGTGTAAAATATATATCACTCAGTATAACAGGCCTACTCTCTTTATTTGCTTTAGTTTAGTAGATATCTACAAAGAGTCGATACTTTTCTAAAACCATTTAGTGGTTCACATAATAAAATACACAACGGCTGATTATATGCTTTAGGAGCTAGTTGTAGGTGTGTGTGCTAGGCTACAGTGTGTGCGTAGATGCGGCGGACAGACAGGTCTCAGTTGGTTTGGTGTCCTCTGCTTACTTTTAATACTTGTAAATAAAACTTATTTAATTTTTTATTTAAATATATAAGTGGTCATGAACACATCTGTCCATCAGACAGAGTGCTGCTGTGCCTCCTGTCATCATTAATGGACGTCTCTTTAAAATGACTGCTTAGAGGAGGGGAGTTGAGAAATGAGAAAGGGCCTATGTGTAAAAAAGCAGGAAATTAAAAAAAGGAACCCTGTAGTAAACCTGCAAGAAACAAAGTATTCGAGTACCATACTGTTTCAGAAATAATCCTTGAAGGGGTTTGGAAAATGATATGGCGTTTAATCAAGGCAGAATTTTGCTGCATCTGAGCAGAGCAAACGGCTCGTCAAAGACCTCACCGTTTGCCTGCGTGCTCAAAAGGGGGCGGGGCCAGCAGCTAGTTACAGAATCATTACTTCTCTAACTGGGCTGAAATAGAGGGATATGAGGGATGTCTAAAATTCATGATCTGTTTGGTATTTTGAGCATAACACAAAGACATGTTTTTATATATTTGTATGAGACTCATATATGCCTAAAAATAGCATGATAGGAGATATTTAAATTAGTAAGACTTGTGGTAAGTGAAAACTCTAAATACATGTGTTTAGTCTATGCATTGCTGTAATTCCTCTTTTTTAATAGATAGTTGGGATATTATCATGTTCCAGCAGCAGTGTCAAGCATTACACAAAATGTTTTAAAATTGTGCAATAAGGTACAAATATAATAAATCAACATTAGCGGCAAGAAAGGAGAGTAAGAATAAAAAGTGACATGGATTTGCAGCTTGAAATGTGCTAACCTTCCACCTCCAATTTAATACACCAAACAACTTGTCTTTGTCGAGTGAGCACTTAGTTGTGTTCACATCAAGGACTTTCTGTGTCAGATTGTGTCTCACTTGAGTTTGATTACTGTCAAAAGGAGCACTGGATGCCACTTCAGACTTTAAATGTTCTAGTAATATGTTTTTATAACATCTTTAGTAAAACACATTTTTCTTTAACATTTGCATTATCCAGGGGTTTACAAACTGGCTGGGATGAAGACTTACTGAAGGTGGAGAACCTCAAAATGAAATATAGATCTTTTATTTTCTTGAAATGTATGATATGAAATACACCTTTATAACGTGTATATATGTCGCCTGAATTGGGGATTGGGAGGGTGTACATTGGTAAAGTAAAATGTAACAACCAAATAATCTGCAGGGTTTGATATTGTAAGATCATTATTGATTTCATAAAACCAATGAAAAGTAATAATACTGACAAAGAAACAATGTAAGGAAATTAATATCACAATCATTTTAATAGCCAATAAACTCAAAAATAAATTCAGATTAAATTATACAAGAAGTGTTTTGAGCTCCTGTAACTCTGAAAAAAAGTTTTCATTTTAGATTAGATCAGATCCTTTAGGATGTTGCCTGAAAGAAACTGTGTCTCGGTTTTGGCAGGATCTTACAGCTGGTTAAATATCAGAACTGGCAATCATTACAAGATCAAGTAGATCTAGAACAAGTCTCAGAGTAATAATCATCTAAATCAATCATACCGAAAGGTATAAATGTTGTGCTACAAGTTAAAGTTATATATATAAAATAAGAAAACTATGAATAACACTAGTATAAAAATACTATCCTTCATCAGCCCCCTGTTCTTCAGCACAAAAAGTACCCATTGTGCACAACGGAAACATTGTGTATGTTATATTATTGGATTATAAATAGTGATGCATTCATGTTTTTTTATTTGACTAATTACGCATTTGGGTGGCTTTTACACGTCACCAAGGGATTAATACAGTTTATCTTGAAGTATTATTACCCATGATACATATTTTTGTTAGATATTGAACCTCAAATGTTACATTTTCACAGTATCAAAAACTGTCTGATAAGTAGTCGTACTTGTAAGTATTAGAACCTCAACATTGTAATTAAATGCAGTACTTGAATAGATGCACTTAGTTACTTTCCACTGTGACATATTCTGGCTTGTGTAGTTGTTTTATATACTAAGCAACTGTTTCTTTCATTAGGCTTTTTCAATAAAAAGGAGCCTGATAGTTGCACCCAGTTTTAAGGAACGTCACACATCGCGAGGGGGCGCTCGAGCTTCTCCTTAATGTTGTACATCGAAGAAGAAGAAGAGTCAGCATTGTAAACACAGGGATATGGCTGACGAGAGGGCTGCAGAAGAAGACAACCTTAACGACATTATGGGGAACCAGCTGCAGCTTTTACCAGGTAACGGTGCCCCTCAGCGGGGGACAGGGTTAACTGCCGGGTCTCATCGGGGCAGCGTCCGTCTCCCCGTGCTGCTAACTGCGAGCTAACTCTTCCTCAACAGGCCACCGTCACACATCACACCCTCACTGACTCTTTTTATAGACCTCACACTTTGTTTCGTTTTACCATCAACGTGGCTTATTAAGAGGATAACGAGCAAAAATAAGCTCTCCAAAATTGTTAGTGATTTGCAAGCCCCACAAACAACTTACGATATATTTGACAGTGTTGCAATCAACAAGGCTAAACAAAAACATAGCTAACAATCTCTATAAGAGGTATTTTATTACCTAAGCCATAAAGGCATTACACTGAAAATGATGAGGGAACGCTTGCTTTTTTATCAAATGTCCTTCCTTAATTGTATAACTTACCACTCCTACATGCCCATTTGCACTATTGTATCTATGTTTTAATGGTGTGTAGACACATATCGAGGGGTGCACACAACTTTCTTAGTGAGGTACTCAGATGAGTACCTGGAGTAAGTGTTTGGTACTCCAACTTCCGGCTCCCCTCAAAGTTCCCATGAAGCCCTCTGTATCGCGAATATCAGCGGGTGGGGGTGCTAGTGGAGTATGATGAAGCCCTCTGTATCGCGAATGTCAACGGGGGTGGGGGGGTGGGGGGGGTAGTAGTAGAGTATGATGAAGCCCTCTGTATCGCGAATGTCAACGGGGGGGCGGGTAGTAGTAGAGTATGATGAAGCCCTTTATATCGCGAATGTCAACGGGTCGGGGGGGGTAGTAGTAGTAGAGTGCAAAGCTTCGTGACACAGAGCGTGTGAACGTTGTG